GTCAAGAGGTAGCAATAATAAAAACTCAGGGAAATTTTTTTTTAATTCATTAGGAAAAGAATTGGTGGCTCCTGTTACACAACAACTGAGTTAGGTCTAGCTGAAATCTAGAGACTCTCTGAGTCCCACTCATTTTACTAAAAGCCTAATCTGTTTGTGCGCCATGAACAATTTTGGCACTGAGCAGTCTAGCTAAACTTCCCAGCTCTGAAAAAAAGGGATGTGGAAGCTCAGAGGGCTGGGATTCAGGATCTGAGCTCTAGACTCTTCCTCATGTTATGTTATGGTGTGACATAGAAAGCTCTTAAATGATGAGGAACCAATAAATGTGGGGAATTTTAGGGTCTGAGAAAAGAGGGGTAATACTTATGTGTGACCTTGGGTAATTTGGAAAAGAATTCCAGTCTTTCATACTTTCAAAGGGTTGCTGTGAGAATCAGCCATATAATGTTTGTGAAAATGGTCTAAGAGCTTCATTAGAACAGCAGTATAGAAACAAAAGTTTTTGTTAGTATAGTGGGGAGGATAGCACAGGCTTTCCAGGCTAAGCTAGGTAGAGTCCATCCGACCAAGTGCTAAGCCTCTGCCCTAATCACTTAGGTAGAATCCTGTGGCCCAAAGCTCGGTCATGGAACAGGGAGGGGAACAAGGGTTTGCTGCATCATTGTAAGGCCCAAGTGCTTCAGAGCTGAGCTCCATTCTCCATGGAATCAGTCAGGGTACATTTTCAGCCCTCCATGGACTGTTCGTCAGCCACTGCAGCATGGGGGCCTGATGATTTATTGCTATCACACCTGTATTATCTCTTCCTATACAAGACAAGACGGTTCTTCTTGCTTAGCAGACCACGAGATCATCTGAGGATGGAATGTACAGCATATGTAATGCAGTCAGGATAGTGAAAAGGAGACTGAGCATGGTGTCTGGGGAGTTGAGGAAGGTCAGGTAAGATAACTTGTTGGCTTTGTGACTACAGAGATGTCACTTCAGCTTTCTGTACCTCAGTTTCCTTGTCTGTAAGATAGGGATAGTGAGCTTGATACTACCTGCCTCACAAGGTTGGTATGAAGAAGTCTGTAAAGTGCTATAAAAAGTGTAAGTAACTATAACGATCTAGGTGGTACTAGACTCCATTAGGAGGAAAGGTATCTTAAGCTCTCTAGCTCTTCTCTTTAACTCCCCCCTAAACTCTAAACTCCCAACCTGATTTCCCCAGATTCCAAGCAAATTTCTTACTTAGGTATTAGCGTGGAAGTGTGGGGTTTGCTCTGTATTTTTAGACACAGTGCTGTCTCGCTACCTCACAGTCACACTAACAAAGTTTCTTTCCCTCTCTGGGTCTTTCAACACATCCCAAAAGGTAAGGTGAATACCTGTTGGTACTAATCCATTCACACCTATACTGTCTCAGAGACATTTTTATTTGTTAACTCTAAACTTAGGCAGCAAGTCCAGAAGTAAATCAGGAGAAGCAAAGAGCAGAAGTACAGCTAGAGAGAAGGAGCTTTGTGGGCACTGTGAGTCAGCAGAGGTCAAGCCAAAAAGGGTCAGCTAAGAAAAGGAAGAGGCAGGTAACCCGGGGTATAAATAGGCAAGATTTAGCATCTGGGAGTCAAGTAGACCTAGAAACAAAGATTTAGGCACCCAGGCCAAAGGCTGAGGCAAAAAAGGGTCAAAACATAGTCAAGAAGTAACAGGCAGAAGATGCCAACAACAAGGGGTTTATATAAAACCAAATGCCAATGGTTCTTAGCATACCTGCTTCTCGGTACTGCTTTCAGAATGTGGGCAAGCCTAAGTCCACAGGTTTGAGCACTTGGCAAGACTGGGGCATCAGGGTAATGACTGACACTCTATCACATGCCCTAGTCTTACCATTTGGAGGCTGAATGCTGTAGAAGCAATACCTACAATGCAGGATAAATTAGTTTTTTATTCCAAAAAGCAGGGAAGCTGTCCTTGAGATTTGACTGGTTGAGGGGGATAAGGCTCAAGCTTCCTAGTTCTGTAGGACAGAGGTATCAAACTCACAGCCTACAGGCAACCTGGCCCACAAAACTCCTGTGTGTGGCTGAACCAGATTAAAATGTAACTGGGAAAGGTTTAACAAAATAAACAAAAATATAACAGATAATGTTAATTTGTAGTTTTCTAAGTCACTATGTGGCCCACAAGGATCTATATGTTGTAAAGTTTGACACCATTGGTCTAGGACATAAAAGCCCGGGAGGCATTCACAAGAAGGCAGTTTTCTCCAGAATCACCAGATGTCCCTCTGTCTTGTGAGCCACCACCCCCCAAAACAGTTGGATGACCAGATACATTTCCAAACAGAGATAAGAGAGGGCCTGCATCTAGCTGAAGCAACGTTATATCCTTACTGAGTATCTTTTTCATGCTATGTCAAAGCAAACCTTTTTGGATAACTGCTAGAGGGCCTACAAGTATCTCATTTCATTTTGATCCTGGGCCTGAAGTAACAGACCAGCCCATTAAAGAAGGGCGACTTAGCTTCCTTATCACCAGTATGATTCATTGGCCTCTGCCCTCATTCACCTCACCATTGGGCAGAGAGGGAAATAAAATGGGCACTGTCTTTGGCCTTGAGTTGCTCTCTACCCCCTTTGCACCTTTACCCTGCTGCCACGGCAGGTTGGCTCCATGGCCCCACGAAGCCTCGGACCGAAGCATGGATAACTCAAAGGCTAATTGCACTTGTTGCAATGAAGAAGAAGACAAGGGCTCCCAACTGTGCTGTAAATGGTAGGGAGCATTGGCTGGGGTGCTCAGGCTCAGCTTATTGGCTCAGCATGAGGATACTCCTCCAGTTTAGCTGACTAGAGCAATTCATTTTTAATGATTCCTGTTAGGATTTTGAGCTGAACAAGAGATGAGGTTCTGCAGCCCTAAGTCTGGCTGTGATGGGGAGGGCAGAGAGGGGAGAGGGCTTGGCAGCCTGGAACTTCAACTTCAACAGTACCAAGTGATAGAATCCGAAGCCTGATTTTTGTAGTGAGGATGTATCCAATAAAGATTTCAAAAGGTCATCTTGTATACTCTCCTGCTCACATGCTCCTTCAATAACCTATTTCAAACTTTCAGATTTTCACAATCCTTACACTCGGCCAGCTCTTCCTTGTCTCTAACCAGCTCAAATGCCACCTTGAATCCTTCCCTGATTCTACCAGTCAGTAATTTAGCCTTCCTTGGACCTCAAATTGTACTATATGCTTGCATCTCTCAGATTTATTATTTATCATTTTGTACCATAGTGATTTGGAGCTGGATATACTGGCTTGGTGGTATGCTTATGTCTGCTGCCTTAGGATCAGCCTGGCTTGCTTTGGAGATACCAAGTGACAGAAAGACGAACACACCACAAGAGTAATACATTTTCTGGAAAAGAGCAAACCAAACAAGCATATCTCCTATGGCGTGGAGCAGCTGTGATCTGTCAATGGAGGGAGCGTCAATGGGAATGAATTCTCAGGTGCCTCAAGTACTAAAGTAAGTAAAGGTTTTAGTGAAGTGTCACATATGCCCAGTAGAGTATAAACTCCATAAGGGAAGGAAGCCAGAGCATCTAAACTCTGCATCTCTCCAAGAACACCTCCTACTGCTCTGTATATAGCACATGCTGATGAATGCTTGTTGAACTGGACTGAACTAACCTCCATCCCATTTGAAGCTGGGGGTTCTCCTCTATCCTCTACTAAAACTCCTATGTCTAACTGTGATGTGGCAGCGACCCGTGTTCTTGAAGGCTGTGCTAGCAGAGCCTCAAGTCTTGCAAATCCTACTAAGCTGGAAAAGTTTCCAGGACAGACTCCGTGATGGGCTTTTAGTCCAAGGACCTGCCTAACTAAGGTCAGATAAGTTCATCATATGGTTAGCTGTGGGGTGAGGGATTTTTCAGAAATAGTTACATTTGAAAACCACTCACTAAGTGAAGGAGGAAATGTGACCTGCATCAGTGTAGGGAGCAAGTGTGCCAGATAAATGATTAACCCTTCAGTACTAAAATACTCTTTGTATGCCAACTTACTTTACTACAATGCTGTGTGACATCAACTGCCTAAGATAGCAACTCACCAGAGCTAGGGATAGCCACTCCTTGGAGTCACAAAGTCCACTCCCAATCCCAGTTCCCAATGTGACGCTCAAATGGGCATCACACTCTAAAAAGGGGGAAAAACTACTTTCAACTACTTTATTAATTTAAAAGAATCTCTAGATATGCTTACTGGGGCCATACTCAGTTCCACAAAGGCTTCACTCCCCTATAATAATCTCTGTCCAGCCAAACATGTAAATGTACACAATTCCATCAGGTTAAAGAATGTCTTCACTAAAAGAGAACCAAATAGAATTCTTTGAAGTTCTTTTTAAGATGTAATAGAACAATCACTTGGGTAGTTTATTACTGAATTGATACCAACAGTTTCTTTTCCTGTGTAACTTTTACAATCCTTCCAAACTTTTGGGTCAAGTAATAGCATTTTTATCTAATTTTAGTGTTCTCTTGAGAACTCACCAGGTGACGAGCTGTCCACCAGATTAGGGTTACTACCTTGTCACTTGGGTGGGAATGAAGGAGATTCTACTTGGAAAAGATAAGCAGAAGCAAGAGTGGATGTAGATATAGGGCAGGGAGAATCAGCTGTCTGCTGAGAAGTGGGAGGAAACTGAATGAAGATATTCCACTGGACAAGAAATTATGAGAGGCAAGAGCATGGAACAGGGTCCTTTGGGTACTGGTGCATAGATAAAATTAGTACACTTGGCTAGGTGGAAAAAGCAGGCACTTTTTTTGTGTGTGTGGCACTCTGTATTCAGAACCTGGGGACATCCTTAGCAGAAAAGCACTCATTTATCAAGGGCTAATGACTTGATTTCTCCTACCAATTAGAATGGAAAGCACGTGTCATCAGCTTTATCAAAGATTAACAGCCGAGCAGAGAGTGAAGTGGGAAGGTTTTGAAACAGAAATAGAAACTTACCTTAAAGATGAGACAGTCTGATTTGTGCTCTGCATACATAGAGGTAAGGCGGTACTGGTTCTCCGTGGTGAGGTCTATCCGGTATCCTGTCAGGGTATAGCAGACCTTACGGAATTCTTGGATCTTGGTCTGGAAAACCTCCTTTAGGCGTTGATTTCTCAGTTCAGAACTTTCCAATTTCTTTTTCAGATCTACAAAGTTAGAACGTATGAGACAGCATTGGATCAAGAGGTTTTATGCCTAAGAACAATTCAGCTTCTCCATATAGCTCTAGGTTGGGAGGCAGGAAGCCTAGGTTCCAGTTCTGGCATTACCAATGACCTCTGGGAGGTCATTTTATCTCTTTAAGCTTTGATTTCCTCATCTTTAAAGTTTAAATTTTCAAAATTTTATATTGGGGTAGGGATGTAAGTGGATGACTATCACTGCCAGTTTAACTTACACACAGTGAAGATGCCTCATCCTGCTTTATCAACAGGACTGTTCAGGACTGGTAAGATGTGAAGGAGGGAGTCACTTCTCATTAGCAATACATGACTTCCAAGTTTGAGATAATTCCACTCTAAAAATTCTTACCGTTTAAAAATGCATATCAGACTTTTAGGTTGGATGTCAGCCAGACCCAGAGCTTCTTGCCAGGTTTCTGCTAGTATCATCAAAAGGGTTGACTTTGTGGTTGCTGCAGACTGACCTTAGTCAAAAACTATTTTGCTGGGTTAACACATGAAAGTAGGGTAGGTGGCATGGATCCCAGCACAGTGGATTTCAAGAAGGCAAGTCAGAAGAGAAGAGACTGACTTAAACTAAAGTTGAAACATCTGGCTCTAGAACTTAGCTAAGTGTCTTTGGAATTAAAATTTTCAGGCTTTAGTTTCTTCCTATGTAGAATGAGAATAGTAACACCTTTACTACTTATCTTACAGGGTTGTAAGGATTAAATTAGATAATGCATGCACATTGGCCATTGAGAAAATTTTAAGTGTATGAAATTTGGATTGTCCTTTCGGTCCAGTTTTTTCATATCAATGAAATAAATACTATGGTAACAATATGTCAAGGTTTACAAGTGGCATTAGGCAGTGTATTACATGTGGAAAGTATCACATTGTTTTGGAGAATCTGTGAGTAGAAGAATGGAGCTTTTCATGCATATTATTGATAATGTATATGCTTTGTAAATAAAAAGTGTTATACACATATGGGTCATTCCTCATTCAAGGAATTAGTCTACAAGGAATTCTCTCTGCCAACAAACCATCTGATTTCATACCCATGTGTGGAGAAAACCTTATTGGGATGTAGATAGGGAGGTAGGATCTGAAAGTTACTCCAAAGAAAGTAAGGACTAGTCAGATTGCTGTTGCTTCTTTCCCTGTGGAAGGGTCCTAGTCAAGAAGAGAGACCCTGATGCATCAGGCACACACAGCATGTTTTATTGCTCTAAAGGGAGCTGCCAGCTGCAGGAATCCATCAAGAGGATACACAACAATTACCATGAATCTTTCACCCAAGGTGCCTTCCGAGTAATTAAACCTCGATTTATCCCCCCATTAATTAGCGCAATTGGCTTTACTTAAACACACTGAAGATGCCTCCCAAATACCTGCTTTATCAACAGCACTGTCCAGGACTGCCAAAATGCTAAATCGTGTTCAGTCACACCAGGGTGTCCCTTCCTCTCTGACAGCTGGCATTTCCTCTCTGAAAGGCCACTGCCATGGGAGACTAGCAGTATCAGTGAGCCGAGCTCGGGGAGCTCTCTGGGGTGAAGGAGTGCTTTATGAGAATAGGAGAGGAACGTGGACCTCAAAATGTTGTGTCCTAGGATCCCTAAAACTGCTCTAAGTATGGGGCACATCCTGGACAACATAGCTGGCTGGGTCGTCCTGTTCACAGCCTTGGTGAGAGAGGAGGCCAGAGGGTATATGGCATCACCACTATGGGCCCATCATCCAGATAATGGATTGATTCAATCTGTCTCTCCTGCTTATCTCCTTCATCCTGAATTTTTCCTTGTTTGGCAACACACAGGATCATGGAGCCAAAAGGGGCCCAAGGCAAGTCACTTAACCTCTGGGTCTCAGTTTCCTAATGTGAGGTGGTTGGACTAGAATGATATCTAAGGCCCTTCCAGTCCTAAACCTATGATCCTACGACATCACGATACTATAACACATCAGTTTTACATGTTTCAAAGTTTCTGAAATGCTTTCATATTAATTACCTAATCCTTTCAACAGTCCTGTGGGCTTGGCAGGTGAGGGATAAACACAGAAATGGTACAGTGGAAAGAACCTGGATTTGGAGTCAAAGGCTCTGTATTCAAATCTCACCTCTGGCAGTGCCTGCCCATGTGATCTTAGGCAAGTCATTCACCTTCCTCAGCCTTAGTTTCTTCATTTGCAAAATGAGAGAGTTGGGATAGTTTATAAGGTCTCTTCCAGTTCTGTGTTTATGATTCTATCACCTCCATTTTACAGGACTAAGAGGTCAAAAAATTTACCCAAGGTTGCAAGACTGATAAGTCCTACTCTTGAAACCAGGTCTAGTTCAGTGTTGAGCTCTATTGTGGGGGTTCTCAATCTTTCTGTGTGTCACAGACCCCTTTGGTAGACTGGTAAAACCTATGGACCCCTTTTTACAATGAAGTTTTTAAATAACTGAAGGGAAAACTCCATTTTATTTAGAGGTCATTTAGGGGCAGCTGAGTGGTACAGCGGATAGATAGAGTGCTCCTGGAGTCAGGAAGACCGGAGTTCAAATGTGGCCTCAAACATTTACTAGCTGTGTGACCCTGTTTGCTTCACTTTCCTCATCTGTAAAACGAGCTGGAGAAGGAAATGGCAAACCACCCCAGTATTTCTTCTGAGAAAACCCCAAAAAGGGGTCACAAAGAATTGGACACAACTGAAAATGACTAAACAACAACAAATTAATGATGATATTTTTTCCCCATTCAAGTTCATGGACTCTAGGGTAAGAATGCTTGCTCTACTGAGCAGCTTCTCTGAAATCTGCTTCCTCCTTTGGAAAGCAGCAAGAACTAGAATTCATATCTTGACATTCAGTCTTGGGTTCATCCTGCTATAAAAATCTCTACTAGAATTTCCATTTTACAGATGTGGAAATTTGGCCTCAGAAAGTTTAAGTGACTTTCTCAAGACCTTAAAAAGCATCTAGTCTAAGTCTTTCATCTGTAAATATGAAGAAACAGGCCTGAAGAAGGAATGAACTCATGAGGCATGGACTCCAGGGTTTATTAGCTCCCACGTTAGATCTCTTTCAACAACTCCATGGTACCTGTTACTCTCCATGAGCATAGAAAAGATTATCAGCTTGCAGCAAGAGATTTGGCCAGGAAGGTGGGGACAGATTACTTTTGGGTTAAAATGACAATGAAACTCTGGCCATTCAGTCCTATTGGGGAAAGGCCAGGATAAAAAAGTGACAAATCTGAAAAGAGGAATATGTTTGAACAAAATGACTTTTATCCCCCTCAAGTACACACACAATAACTCTATTAGAAATGCTGTTCAAGCTGTTCTTAAACCTTAGATCATTTAGTTAAAAATATATCTACTAAGTATATAGAGTGTGCCTAGCCCTGCACATTTTTTGGGAAATAAAAGTTTATAAGATACAAAATCAGCTCCTGAGAACCTTCCAATACAGCTAAGAAAGCAACACACATACACACAATTACATAATAGTATAAGATAGTGTATACAATCATGTGCTAGACTGTATGATAAAGTCTCCACACCTTGTGTCAGGAAAGAGAGAGATCAATGTGAATTAATGTAGTTAGGGTTGGGCTTTGAATAGTATGTAGATTTTGATGAATAAGAAAGCATTTCAGGAAGATAAAATTCATTTGTAATTAGTAGCACTATTTACATGATTATAATGTACTGGCTTTCCACCTGAGTCCTACTCTGATACCTTGTTATACAGCACAGAAGTGACCCTGGATTTTTGAGGGTCACCTCAAAAGTTTTATTAGGCCTTAGTATACTTCAAAATATTGTTTAAGGACTACACTAGGTAAAATTGGAAAAGCCTAACCCCAGAATGTTGGTCACTAAGTGATACAAATTTTTTTGAGTAAAAGATGTTAAATTATTGATTAAAGTATGGAAGATGGTGTCATCTGTGTCCATGGAAAGAACACCTACTATCTGTGAAGTCATGGATACTTGAAGTCATATACAAAAGCCTTCAAAAATGTGATTTCTCAAGTCGATTAAAGACACCACCTACAGTCTCATTTTCATTCTCAATTTGCATCTCAACTTGCTCTTCACAGGGAGTACAGGGGGACCTGCATCCCAGGTTGGATAAGCAGAAATTCTGAATTGGTGAAGGTTGAACGAATGAGATTATACAGGACTGTGTCCCAGTCAGTACCCAGAGAATCACATGCTACATCAAACCGTGAGAAGACAAACAGCATTCTCTAACACCCTCTCCATCGGCCTTGAGAGCCCCACTGCTCAAGTTGGCTTGACTTGTATGGGAAGTGCAGACATTTGTGCACCACCTGCCCACCTTCCCTCCTCTTCCTGGCTTCTCCATTCATCACACTGGTTCCCAAAGAGTCTTTCTAGACATTGGTATTCCACAGCCAAAATGCCTCTCCATCATGGCCTCTGGCTCAGAGCCCTTGATTAATCGAGTAATCAGACTACAAAATCAAAAGGTTAATTGGCAGCTGTGACCCCAATATTCTTCCTGGCTTCTCTCAGCCACGCAGTCCTAAGATGGAACTGTTAAAAGGATAAAAACCTATGTGCAAAAGTAAAAATTCACTGACCACATCTCAGAGGTAATATTTCACCACTGTCAGAGATTGCATTGCCTTTAATATATCTCAGATGTCCAATGGGGAAAAAATTAAATTTTGGTAATAAATGCAGTCTGACCTTGGAAAAGTAAATATCCCCCTTTCCCCATGGATATAAAAACGCTATCATTTATGCATTTCATAAACTCTTGAAGTAGATGGGGCCCAAGTTTATGAACTGGTTCAATGTCTGTATAGAAACTGCACCCCCCAGCTGGTTTCTTAGCAGACCAGAACTCAGGTGGCACTTTAGTTTCTGCACGTGGAAAAGGACATGAAAGGATAGGCTAAGACAATTTCTATAAAAGAGATTACACCAATTCTGATGTCACAACATTGTGTCAATAG